TCGGATCGCCCCTATCCGGTTCAAGAGGACCCGATCTGATATATATGTGTTATTTATCTATAAATATGTTATTTATATTCATAAGTGTGGCAAATAAAAATAATTTTTATAGATATAAAAATATAAAAAAATTGAAAACATATATTTACTATCAAAAAAATTACTATATAAACTTAGCAGCATAGGGAATTATCTTAACCACCAGTAAAAAGTGTGTTAACACAAAGATAGATGGCATCCAATGGCACATTGGGGACATCTCAATGCCAAAACTAATAAAAAAATGTCACCGGCCCTTTGTATCCTCTCATCCACATAGTATAGGGGACCCTCATGCCTTTTACTCTATGTAAAGCAAGGAGGAAGATTTTACCAAAAAATCAATGGGGATAGAGGATTTATGAAAATCAGTTCTTGATGCTGAAAAGAAATGATAATGAATAGGCTTTGACCAATCAAAACTCTCATGCCAATTTTGCTAAAACCCCACCTAATTGATTACCACTTTTATGATGCCAATTGATTGATTATAAGTTTCTCCCTGGGTTTGACTATGATACCAAAAAGACATGATATCATAAATATATAACCAATCAATTGGTATTATATACTTACCAAAAAAATACAAATAAACTAGTATCATAAAAATGATAACCAATTAGGTAGTCTTTATCAAAATTCATAGGCTTTTGATTGGTTAGAACTCTTCCAGTATTATAAATTTTCAACATTATAGATTTTCCCATCTCCTATACCCAATTTATCATCAACTGGATTTTACCCAAAAAAAAAAAAGTGGGTTAAAGTTATTGCTTGTCAATGTGAATCTGTTTATATATATATATATATATATATATATTGAAGGTTTTAAATCATATTTCATTCATTTAAGAGAAAGAGATGCCAATAAGGCTAAATAAAGTTCAGAGACAAATCTCAAGAAGAACAAAATAAAGAGATGGATGAAAGAGCACCGAAAGAACTTCTGCAACCAAAACAAAGTGAATTAAAACCACCAACAGAAGTGGATAACTGCATCTCCAAACAACCATAACCTGTAAGCGAAACTGACATGAAAGGTTTCCAACAAAAACAAAAAAATGACAGTGGAGGTTACAAAGCCAAAGCCATGATCTGTAACTTCCAACAACTCCAATCCAATCCGCAAAAGACGTATGACCAAGAATTATAATTGACATCCAACACACTAGAGAACTGTCAACTGCGAACTACCATTGTCGGAAAACTGTAATTGCCCAAAATGCCAGAGTACTGAAACTGCCATTCAGGACGTCGGAGGACTATAATTGCCAACCAAATCACAGAAGACGGTAATACAAGAATCAACTTCCACCAGTGGTTATCGCATAAAGGATTCTAGGGAAAAGGAGAGAACATAGGTAACAAAAGGGGAAACAAAGAGAACGAACGAACAAAAAACAGATGGAGAAGAATAGATGGGAGAAGAACAGAAGAACAAACGAACAGAGAAATGGAGAACAGAAAAGGAAAACCAAATGAGAACAGAAGAACAAAAAAACAAAGAAACGAACAGAGGGAAACCAACAAAGAACATAAAAGAAATGAAACCTCAAGAGAGCTCGAGAGATAACCTCTCTGGAAACAGAAAAAAACAAAGCCAGGGGGTGACTCCCTTCGACGAGTCACCCCTACCAAATAACTCTACGGCGAATTCTGGCACTTCCCAAAGGGACTCTGGCGAACCTGTTTATATATGATGCTTAGTATCATTGTGTTTTTTTCATAGAATGATCATGCCTTTGAATTTTGGTAAAATAATGCTGATTTTTGTACATATTTTATATTATTATTTGGTGGTATAGGGATGGAAATGGACTATATCTAAATCTGATCCAATACTATAAACTGTAAATCTGATCTAGAGATTATTTGGATATTACAAACATTGATTCGAATTCGAATCTGTATCTCTTAAGGATGTTGGGTATTTGAATTCACTTGGGGGTATCCAAATTCGATAAAATAGGATTGAGTTTCATATGATCAGATCATGATATTCTCACAAAATTGTGACATTTATTATTTGATTGAAATGGATTGAAAAAAATTCAACCATACTAGAACCATCCAACTATTTAGTTATATTTTTTTTTGTCAAAACGGGCCATCTATTCGGTTCGACCAATCAAACTATTCGACCCAAAAACCGGACCCCTAACTAATTCATTGTTTGGTTCGGTTTTAAATACCTTAGTCCATCTAGGTCTATTTTCAGCTTTTAGAATTTCTAATTCTATTTAACCCCATAAATGGCTTTATGAAAGCCCTCTAATCCAAATTGAAAAATATGTAGCTGCAATTCACTACGGGTAGTGGGGTATAGAGTGGGTAGAAAAAATGAATAGGAAATCCCGTTTGCTCTCAAACGGTACTCTGTGTCTCAGTCCGTTCTTGTCTTTTTCATCAAAGGGATATTCAGTGCAATTATTCTTTTACCCTCTACCTGGTAAACGTGTCATGCCCAAAAACGTTCTTAACCGCCCAGGCTTTTGGCCCCCAACAGCCGAAGTATTCCCAATCCATAATCAAAAGCTGAGCTGATCCACTTTATATATTCTCAATCACATTTACTTTTGCATGTTGCAACTTGCAGTTTTGCACAATCAAAAGGAGAAAGAGAGAGTATATTATTTTGGACCCGTCAAAAAGGGACTAAAAAAGCAATATTTTTCGTCATAACATGCAAAGTGAGAAAAGAGAATAAAGAAGGTTTGTTTGTTTACTAGATGTAACAGCACGAAGACTATGCTAAGTTACAGAATAATTCTTTTGTCATTTAGCAATTAAAGAGGGATGCTTTTTTCATGGTTTCAGATGCTTCATATTCAACCTATGGGGATATTTTTGTCATTAAACACATCTAATGATTAAAAGAAGCAAAAATTACTTAAATCTCTTATATGTTTCCTGACAAATACTTAAACCTTTAAGATAACGACAATCTAACCGTAAGGGACAGTTTTATTCCATTCAAGTGTGTGATAAAGTTTATCCAATCTGAAAAAGAAAATGAAATTCTTGGACAGAAAACGGTTGCACTTAATATTTCCAAATCCTATTCTTGTTAATGAGGAACTCTATAATGAAGATTTATTGATATACCTCAAAATTGTTCGATTTAAAGACCAAATTCGAGTACAAGTTTTTTTTTTTTTTTGGAAAAAACCATATGCTGTGATGGGGGTAATTTGGTCATCTGAATGATACCGTGACACTTCAGTGTTGAGTAAACAGATCACCTCAACAAATTGGCTAAAAGCACCTCATAGGGCCGACATAAAAGTACCTCGGCCCGAACGACCTAAGAGACCTCCGAATAAGGAAAGGCCTACCTCAGGGACTGGTCGAGGTAATAAACATCACCGGTGACCTATGAAGCATGCTCACTAACTTGTCACATGGATCCGTTATCAGACTGAGTTCTCCGGGATATTAATGAGTTGACCGTTAGGCTGGACTGCCTGCATCATGTGCCTTAAAGTCAATCAGATGAACCTAAGCCCATTGCGCAGATTACGTAGTCGATGTCATTACTCTCCCGATTTGATGAAAACGGCCTTGCGAGAACCTGAGACCTGTTATGAGAAGGTCTCTGAGCACCACGCATATATAAAAACTCTTTGCTGAATTAAGCATCGGAGTGCCCACCGAATACAAACAATCCGGACACTCTAACTCTTTCTCTTGCAATACAGTGCAACTCGGCCAGCCCTAGCTTAACCCAACTCAATTCGGCTATCGATAAGGCAAGCATCTGATTCAACATTCGAATCATCTAACACGTGAGAGCCACCAAATCGTGCACCATTAGTTTGCTTCATAGAAAAAAAAAACATCCGATCTACAAGCCTAAGAAAATCAGGCGCTAGAAACCACGTAGTTGGACGAGAGACATTAGAAGGAAATTTAGCTACTACAAGATGTACAACTTTGTTGCATGTACGAGGGGCGTAGGAGACAATAGAGTGTGGGAAACCTTGCAGAAGGCACCTACAATCGACAATTTCTGAGTGCAATCGCCAATATAAGAGATGTCCAACAGGTAATTAACAATCTTCTGCGTGTCTATTTCAATATAAATATCACTGAAAGACAACTCGTGTGCAAAAGGCTTCATGACAAATCTTGCAAGTAAAAAAATTCCCGTTGTGATCACGAATAACCATACCGACACCAAACTGAAAATGTTATGGACACACCGATCGGAAGCGCACTGCGGCGCAGTCAAAGGCAGCAGCACGCACAGCAGGCCACATAGCAGCAGGCATCGCCCGACAGCGCGCAGCACGCACCGCCCGGCAGCGCCGCACAGCAG